TTTTCATTTTACCGAAGCCAATTTGTGTTGTTATCTTTTCTATTTTCTTTAAAATTTCAAAATGTAAGTACATTTGTAAGATGTTTTCAAATGTGTATGGTCCAAATGTGAACAAAATCCATCCACAAATAACCAATTCATACCGACAATGTAAGTGTCGGGTTATAAGTGCCTCTGAGTGTAATTGTAAAATTGTAACATGTACGATTTATGTACCAACTGAAGTATATTAAACAAAATAAGAATAGTTTGCTACTGTGGAAGAAAAACATCAAATCCTTTCACACGGATTTATATCAGCTTAACTTAGATTTAGGTTGATGGAAAGAAAATTTGACAAGTGATCCAAGTTACCTCCATATTTGTCTGCACTGGAAATACCCAAGAGGAATTAAACCGTCTACTGACGAAACTTTTATTCTGTCACATTATCTCTGAAAATCTTATCCCATTTAAAATATGTCTAGGAAAAATTACTTTCGTTGAAAAAAGAAACGTATCACAGCAACATGACATTTTAAGTAAATATTATAAATAGAAACAAACTTTTTAACTGGTGACTCTTTATAATGCCTAATAGATTTCAAAATATTAAAGTAATGTCTCAACAAACAATGATCACTGCTGCGTTCATTCATTCGTTTTCCCACAGTGCTGAGGGAGGAAAATATTAATGACTGTGTGAACTTTCATGGAAACAATCCTTTTTCTTGGACGCTATATATTTGTGAGAATACCAATTTATCTCACCATTTGTTTGTAGGTGTCCTTTTTGATCTCACTCTTTTCCATGCATGTCTGCCCGCACTTTTACTTCAAAATGTACATGTATGTTTGCCCATTTGATCTCTCTGTTTAAACGCATGGGTCCCCCATTCAACCTCATCATCTACATGTTTGTTTTCCTATTTTACCTCACTGTATAGAAGTATGTGTCACCATTTTACCTCACTATTTACATGAATGTGTGCTCAATACTGCTGTTTCGCCTGCGCAATTTTCATCTTATATACTGCACAAGTAATAAGATACACATTACGTGACATGTCACAATAAATTACAAAACATGAATGCTGCATTATGTATTATATTGCAACCCTTTTGGAGTCTGCAGTAAATGAAACTATCGTCTGTTATAGATAGTAATGGCTGCTGAATTTCACAGTCTGTCATAGATAAATTCATGAAATGATAGAAATTTTCTATATAAATAAAAACAAAATTATGATAAACAAGTACCACATAGAGAAGTCTCGAAATATTATTTATTACAGAAAGAGAATGTTTTTGTTGTTGTTTTTTTTTGTTTTGTTGTTGTTTTTTTTTTTTTTTTTTGTTTTTTTTTTTTTCGTTTTTTTTTTTTTTTTTTTTGTTTTTGTTTTTTTTTTGTGTGTGTGTGTGTTTTTTAATTTTGCGGTTTTTTTTTAATTTATTTGAAAAGAGAAGTTGGCATGTAGTTGTTTCAATTCTGTTGAAATATTCTGTATGATACGCCCAGGGAAATTGATGCTAAGTAACTAAGAAGCGACACAGCAACGAAACTCTTTGTAATATGGTACAAGAAAAATGCTGTGAAACCGGCAATGTTTCGCATGAGTAATAATTTCAAACGACATTTCTTTGAGAGTTTCCACAAGGAGTTTAAAAAACTGAAATCCGTGTTATTTTTAACCATATGATATAATTTGATAGGTTTCTTCTGCGAAAAAAAAAATGTAATGATGACACTATGTAAACTACATTTGTATGATTTCGGAAATGTTTGACAACGATTGGGAAATATTATTCACCCTGACGATATATTTCGTCCTATCTTTTTTTGCATATAAAGGTTGCGCTGAGCTTTAGCATTTTAATTACATTCCTCAGCAAAAAATTATGCCAGTGCTGATTTCAAAATTTCGTTTTTATGTCTTCATTTTTTTCTGATATAAAGAATTTACTTGTAATAATCAGAGAACTTTGTTTCTTTTGTATTACGGGTACAATACACATTTGAAAGAGATATTTTGAACTTGCAAATTGTAAACGATGCCAGACGGATTGCAATATGGAGTCTAAATTGATAAGCTTGGATCCATTACTGTTTTTGTTAAAACATCACGAGGTGCTAGCGTTGCAAGTTTGTCGGTTACAGTTCATAAAATGTGAAGTACATTTTATTCTTCTCAAACACCAATGGCACTAACTTCCATATTGGGCAATAGATATGTTACCGCTTTGTAACTTGATCATTTACGTATAAGAGTAAATATGGTCGAGAAAAGCAATAATTTGAAGTTTTATACCGCCTAATCAAATTATTCTAAAAAGAATTCACATCATTTGATATCCTAATTTTACATTAATCCAGTATTTTAAAGGCAAAATAGGGTACAATCGCATAAAAATTGAATAACAGTTGAAATATGTCATATTTTTCAACGCAAAAGCTTTTATTGGGTTACATTTTAAATTTGATTAACTGAGAGATTCTGAAAAAAAGAATAAAATTAACTCATCAAATATTTATAAACTGTCGTTTAAGTGGTATATATATAATTACGTAACAAATGACTATCATAGTTGAATTAGATGTTATGAGACACTCCTGACAACACGGATACTTTGGATAAGTAGGAGAATGTGTTTTAACTTTGTTTTGTTGTTCTAATTTATGTGGGTTCCAAAAATTGTTTTTCGTAACATTTAACGATTTTTACGGGTGGTATAACGAGTTACAGACCGAAAGTTACTTCAGCAAAATTGTGTGAAAGCGTGACAGAACTGCCTTCCTAGAATGTGTTTTACTTTACTAATTTTAATATAGTTCTGAACCTATATTCCGAAAGAAAATCCCGATCGAACATATAGAATTCCAGACATTTCAACCGAACAACGGTGCACGTGTACCAACATTCTCTGCTTCCTTACCTAGTATGTGTTATTAGGGGCTGCACTATATATAATGTAACACTATGTCCAAGTTTTATTTAGAATTTCAAGCACGTTTGGTAAGAAAACGGAAAATTCAATCACTTACGATCTTTGCTTGCTTAATCGCATGTAGCCAGATTCAAACCTAAATTTCTCAAATGTCATAACTCTTACCCAGCACATATTAGGTGATTAGTGACTTAATGGTTAAATTGTCGGCCTACGAACCCAGGAATTGTTGGTTTCGGCTCTTCTGACGAACTGGTTAGCTCCAGGAGACGGACTAGAACGGGGTTCAAATAAGTTTCACGCTTTCAGAGACAGATAACTCAAAACATAGAATGGTGATCTCCTTCTTCTGTTATCAATTTGTTTCAAAATAATTCTCTATTATAATGTGCAAAGTTAAAGGAAAGGTCTCTCAGTAAGTTTCAATTTTCTTTCTCTACCTTTGCAAAAAAAAAAAAATCAGATGCATTGCCTTTTACCATTTTTTTTTTTGCTAAGGGAAGCAACTCTTTCAATATTTTAAAAACAAACCATGAACGTTTCTCTCCCTTGCAGATATTTAGTCTCATATCGAAGTAAATTGATGCAGAATAAATCTAAAAGTCAAATTAATACACAAAGTTTAAATTTTCCTGTTCATTTCCAAAAAAAAACAAAAACAAATTTAAGATAAAATTCGAGAACATTTGGGTATAACAGATAGAATATTAAATAACTTAAGAATAATGCCTTCTTTTAATTAAACCACAAAATGTCAAGCTTCTAAAACCCTGATAAATTGGAAATCAATTGTAAATAAGTAACGAACTGTTTAATATTAAATTAATTTTCTCTCCTTAAATGCCATTCTCCATTCCCACACAAAACCTTTTGTAACCTTATGCAACAAAACAGGTAGCATGTGGTTTTAATCTAATGTTTAAATTACTTGTCCATTCATAAACTTGCAAGAAACAAATTACCACAAACTATTATGAGGGAATTAATATCACTGACAAATTCAAAAGATGAGATTTAATTACACATTTAGAAATGCTTTTTCAAAGTTACATGCCGCAATATGAGGAAACACATTTACAGAGAATCAAATTAAATATAGAATATAAACAGGTTTTCAAATTAATGTAAAATTTAATACCCAATATTCACACCTAGTTTTGAATACCATTTATGAAACGCGACTTAATCCACTATGCTTTTTTATTTCACACCTTATAATACTGCATAATACAAGATGAGACTGACAAAGTGTTACCAACTTGTTATAATGATCTGAAATTGGCATTCTAAAGTTATTTAGTGATCCCTTTTTGCAAGTAACCCATGAAAATGGTAAATTTAAAGTATTTGTCCTAGACAAATTTCAACATATTTTATAGAACTCTGTGACTGTCGGACAAAAGAGAATACAGTACTCTGGGTTTTCCCTAGGTATTTCAGACAGGGGAATGGCTATGGACCCCCATGATTCAGCTTTTGAAAGTCCATTGAAGTTTTAAGGGGGTTTTGATATTGAAACATGGTAACAGTGACAGAAATCAATTATACATTGTGTGTAGGCTCCTTTCCTAGGACAGCCATCCAAGAGATCAACTGTAGAGCTTGTAAACCGGGTACCTTGAATAGAAAAAGTGCCAGAATTGTACAGGAGATCAAATTTTATTTATACACGTTACCAAATATGCATACAGAATTGGAAATTCTAAAATGGTTGGTGAGTTTTGAGGGTCCTTGGTATGCACTTCTCTGTACTATGGCAGTCCTAGGACCAAAACCTGCAGGGACAAACGTCATGAACACAGATCAGGAAAAACTTTTTCAAGAGAAAACCCTGCAGGACTTAATGGCAACTACATGATGAGAGCATAACAAATTTACACAAAAAAACATCTTTACCATTTTTATTACAATAAAGGATTTTATGATATAAAGTTATGCTACAAAAAATGATGATCTTACACAGTACATGTGCTTTTTACTCTGTCACATCAGTTATACATGTATTTTCTATTCTGTTAAATAAAAATCACTTTTTTCAACTTGTCAATTCAACATTTTTTTGTGATATAACATGAAATTGCTACTGTAACCACAGTGTATAATTATTAAATAATGCTGGAATGCAAAAATAATTTGATTCACATGATTTTTGTCCAGTAAGTGTGCTAAAACTGCTATCTATACAATCATGTGCTACTGAATATTATACAACAGTGATATCTGACTCAGTATTTCATTTTTTCACTTCCACATAACTTACTAATGATTAACAGAATTTCAGCTCAGGAAAACAAGAAAGAATAGGCTTTAAACATTCAAATAAATTGAAGTATTTTGAAAAATATTATTGTTTTTGTTCAGTCAAGCATGAGAAAATAATACACACATAGCACATCGATGTTGAACAACCACAAGATTTATTATGCTAAATAATGAATTATTGCTATGTCTTTATGGCAGCTTTTTGTTGAGATTGTTGGAACTGGGTCTGTAATTTCTGTAATATTTCCTTCTGCGATTCTTGCTTCTTGTCTAGATCTTTGATCATATCCTCATGCCTTTTACTGTAAAATAAAATACATGAAATGAGCCGCGTCATGACAAAACCCAACATAATGGGTTTGCGACCAGCATGGATCCAGACCAGCCTGCGCATCCGCGCAGTCTAATCAGGATCTATACTGTTCGCTATCAGTTTCTCTACTTGTAATAAGGTTTGTAAGCGAACAGCATGGATCCTGATCAGACTGCGCGGATGCGCAGGCTGGTCTGGATCCATGCTGGTCGCAAACGCACTATGTTGGTTTTGTCATGACGTGGCTCAAATATTTTCATATGAACATTATTTTTCAAAAAAAGAGGAGCTTAAAAAGGGCTTAGCCCTTCCATCAGAGCCCAGAATCATCCTACATGTATTATGAAATACATTCACAATTAGAGCTCAGCTATAACATTGACATGCAAGTTCAGTTAATTTCCTAAATGTACCTTTTTACCTTAAAGGCACATTATTCCTCAGAAATCCATATTTTTCTAATTCTTAAGAAATGTAAAATCGGTGGTTAACAATGTTTTGATAATGAATTTAGAGTATGTAAGATGTTTAACAGCTGAAGAAAGAACATCGTCGGATACCCACGATTGATAAACATGTTACATAACATGCAATCAACCGTGGGTAAAATGAATCGATTTGCGTCGATATACAGCAACAGGTGCGTAAAATATCTACCAATGACATGGCGTTAAACAAATCTATATTCTTCAACAGCGGAGGTAAAAAACAATAAGAAAAAATGGCAGCGCCCACGGTTAAAAACTTTAGCACGTGTCTTGCTAAAATCAATGGCAAAAACTATCGCCAAAATCAGTTCTTCTGCAAGCAGATATCAATCAGAAAGGAAAACATGACGCTGTAAAAGTAAATTATCTATACTTTCTTGCTGGAAATCGTTTAATTTTTCGATGTTGAACTTTACACGTCGTCTATGGTTGTCGCAATATTGTTTGTAATACCGAACGTCGTACAGAACGAGCGTTTTGATTGGTTTTAATCGCCTCATGAAATCGTGAGGCAGCCAATTAAATAGCTGCCTTTGACACACCTCTAATCGACTGAATATCGGCAAAAAATCCCACGGCTGATAAATGTGAATAGTTCGGCCGTGGGTATCCGACGATGAAGAAAGAAGTGCTGAACATGTGGTAATGTGTTATAAAGGTAGCAAAATGTCAACAAAGAAGTATTTTGACTTGCATACAAAATACTAATTCACTATAGTTATACCAAAATAACAATATCAGCAAAAGATAAACTGCCCCTCTGTGCACCTAGGTGTTCTAATCAACCTTTTGTAATTTGATTATAAGCTTCCTCAGTGAAAGATTAATGACAGACTATTGGTAATGGAAATATAATAATGAAATTTGAATATGAAACAATCATGCTTCATTTAATTGAAGGTATACTTACACTTCTCCGCTAATGTAATCTATTCTTTTCTGAACAACTTCTTTGGCCTCGACAATATCCTGTTTTACCAATACTGGACCAATCATTTTGTAAACATTTGCTGAGGAATCTAACTTTACCAACTCCTGTAGAAGTAACATATAGAAAGTTTAATAATTACATGTACCAAATAGCAATTTCTTGCATTTTGAAAGGATCAAGAAAACAGAATAACAAAGTCATATCCCTACATGTACATGTACCAAATAACAATTTCTTGCATTTCAAAAGGGATCAAGAAAACAGGGATACAAATTTGCTTCCCTAATAAAATATTCTATTGCTATGATTTCACAATGGTAACTTTAACATCAATGATTTGAACAGCAGTGTGACATCGATGCTGCAACACCTACAGTGGCCTACCCTCCGAGAACGCAGAGCCCATGCCAAGGTGACCATGATGTACCATATAGTAAATGGCCTAGTAGAAGTCCCTACATCCAACCTCACCCCAGTCATCTCTGTTCGAGGACATGGACTTCACTACCTGGTACCATTTGCAAGGACCCAGTGCTACCAGCGATCCTTCTTCCCAGACACCATCCGCCTCTGGAACAGTCTTCCCCAGACAGTTGTAAGCTGTACAACCATAGACAGCTTCAAGAGGGAAGTACTCCCACTCACTCTCCGATAGACAGTCCGGTGTTTTTACTTCCAAGCACTTGTATTGCTAAAGTTAGTTTCATATTTTAACTTCCAACCACATGTACTGCTAAAGTTAGTTTCATATTTTAACTTCCAAGCACATGTATTGTTAAAGTTAATTTTCATATTTAAACTTCCAAGCACATGTATTGTTAAAGTTAATTTTCATATTTAAACTTCCAAGCACATGTATTGTTAAAGTTAATTTTCATATTTTAACTTCCAAGCACATGTATTGTTAAAGTTAGTTTCATATTTTAACTTCCAAGCACATGTATTGTTAAAGTTAATTTTCATATTTTAACTTCCAACCACATGTATTGTTAAAGTTAATTTTCATATTTTAACTTCCAACCACATGTATTGCTAAAGTTAGTTTCATATTTTAACTTCCAACCACATGTACTGCTAAAGTTAGTTTCATATTTTAACTTCCAAGCACATGTATTGTTAAAGTTAATTTTCATATTTAAACTTCCAAGCACATGTATTGTTAAAGTTAATTTTCATATTTTAACTTCCAAGCACATGTATTGTTAAAGTTAATTTTCATATTTTAACTTCCAACCACATGTATTGTTAAAGTTAATTTTCATATTTTAACTTCCAACCACATGTATTGTTAAAGTTAATTTTCATATTTTAACTTCCAACCACATGTATTGTTAAAGTTAATTTTCATATTTAAACTTCCAAGCACATGTATTACAAGCTAGTTTCATATAGGTTATTTTTCATGACCAGGAAAATATTATGATATTATGAATCATTTAATACAAACATTGTCTTACCTCTTTTACAAGTGTATTTTCACTAAGTTGTCCATCTAGTACTTGTCTAGCTTTCACAAACTTCTGGTGATCTGTAAAATTTGAATATCTAAATGAGGTATTTATATCACTTATCTTACATCTAGAGTGTTTTACATGGCTTATGACTGGAAAAAAAACAGTCATTGAATTTTGCACTGGCCCGGTGGCCCATGGCCAGTGAAAATTAGTTCGGGCCAGTGAAAATTTTAAGAAAATTTAGTTAAATATATAGTAGAATAAATTCAAAACTGGAATTCGGGCTAGTAAATTCAAAATCTTAAATCTATTGACTGAATAAATGTCTTCAGTAATAAGCTAATATATAGCCTTTTCACCTGTTTTTTTACAACAACCTATCTTTTTCCACCCTCAATTTCCCATTTAGTATAGTCGAGGCTCATGAAGTGAAGTGATTAAGTAAGAAGCTCTATATTCGTTTTTGTATTAAACATAATCATTTGAAATATTTATATAAGTAAGCTAGTTTTTATTTCATATTCTATTGTAGATTACTTTACAAACAAAAAGCATCGAAGGGGACACATAATTTGTATTATATTAAATTAATGTTTAATCTGCAGGAATAAACATAAACAAGAGCCGGTTGAACCGGGTGATGCTCCCCGAATAGGTTTTGGACACAGGAAGGTATACCTCTTGTTGTGTCAGAGTTATGTCACAGACAAAGTTCAAAGTGTAAAAACAACCCAAATATTGTGCACGACACATTGTCTAAATATGGTGATCATTTTTGTGAAATAGTTGTAAAATCCGATTTCAAATAACAAAGTTATGCGCCTGACATTATTTTGCTGCAAGGTCATGCTGTGACCTTGACCTTCAACGTAGTGACCTAAATGTTGCATGTGACACGTCAATTCAATATGGTGAATCATCTCTGTGAAATAGTTGTTAAATCTGACTTCCAGTAACAAAGTTATGGGCCGGACACGATTTTGCTGCAAGGTCATACCGTGACCTTGACCTTCAAGGTAGCGACCCAAATGTTGCGCGCGACACAATGTCTCATTGTGGTGATCATTTCTGTGAAAATAGTTGTAAAATCCGACTTCAAAATAATGAAAGTTATGTGCCGGACACAATTTTGCTTCATTGTCATGCTGTGACCCTTGACCTTCAAGGTAGCGAGCCAAATGTTGCGCATGACACGCCATTTTAATATGGTCATCATTTCGGTAAAATAGTTTAAAAAATCTGACTTCAAATAAGGAAGTTATGGCCGGACACGATTTTTTGCTGCAAGGTCATGCTGTGACCTTGACCTTCAAGGAAGACGACCCACATGTTGCACGCGACACGTTGTCTTAATATGGTGATCATTTTTCTGTGAAATATTTTTAAAAATCCCGACTTCAAATAATGAAGTTATGGACCGGACACGATTTTGCTGCAAGGTCATATACCGTGACCTTGACCTTCAAGGTAGCGACCCAAATGTTGCGCGCGACACGTCGTCTCAATATGGTGATCATTTTCTGTGAAATATTTTTAAATCCAACTTCAAATAATGAAGTTATGGACCGGACACAGATTTTTGCTGCAAGGTCATACCGTGACCTGGACTCTTCAAGGTAGCGACCCAAATGTTGCGCGCGACACGTTCGTCTCAATATGGTGATCATTTCTGTGAAATATTTTTAAAATCCAACTTCAAATAATGAAGTTATGGACCGGACACGATTTTGCTGCAAGGTTCATGCTGTGACCTTGAACCTTCAAGGTAGCGACCCAAATGTTGCGCAACGCGACACGTCGTCTCAATATGGTGCATCATTTCTGTGAAATATTTTTAAAATCCAACTTCATATAATGAAGTTAGTGGACCGGACACGATTTTGCTGCAAGGTCATGGCTGTGACCTTGACCTTCAAGGTAGCGACCCAAATGTTGCGCGCGACACGTCGTCTCAATATGGTGATCATTTCTGTGAAATAATTTTAAAATCTGACTTCAAATAACAAAGTTATGGGCCGGACACGAATTTGGGACGTACGTACGGACTGACGGACGGACAGACGGCCGGACGGACGGACGGACAACCCGACGACTATATGCTCCCCCGAAATTTTTCGGGGAGCATAAAAAATACTTCTATCAAATATAATTTAATTCTGCAGAAGTGCAGGTACAATTATATAATAATAGAAATGGCTAGCAGTATGGGCCCGTCCGGCTAGCCAAAAGTTCTAGCCGTATGTGAGTCATGTACAGCTAGCCAGGACACACTGTATTGTCTAGCCGTATGGCACTTTTCAGAATTATATGAAAGTCGGGCCACTTTGTATAATAATATACCAGATATCTCTTATTTTTCATTTAAAACAGCTTGCCTTATAACATACAAGTAATCAGAAAAAGTTAATATATCCTTAATATGTTTTTTTCAAAAGTGGACCGAGTTGGGGTAAAGGGTCAACTGGAGAGTTCACATGTATGTGAAAGTAATGATGAAAACATATAAAAAGTAATAAAAGTAATCATTACCAGTATTTTATATTATTATGGGCCGAGTTGACCCATGCCGAGTTGAAATAGGGCCAAGCTGACTCTGGGGCCAAGTACGTTTTAGGGCCGAGCTGACCCTGATTCCGAGTTGGAATAGGACTGAGTTGACTCTTTACCAAATGAAAGTTAAAGCCAGCTAAGTCATATTATTTTATAAATATTAATTCTTTTTCTCATTATAATCTATATTTTATATAAACAAAAATAAATATTGCTATAATTGGGTATATTTGGGTATTTCGTGCCGCTGCTACCCAGCAAACACCCGACGTTGACACAACGTTGGATCAACGTTGAATTTTGGTCGCGACGTCGGTGACCTTCATACAACGTTTAACCGACGTTGAATCTCCGACGTCTAACAGACGTTTCATTTTGACGTCGACTCGACGTTGGGTTTTGGTCGGTAATCTGACAATAGGTGAATTTAATTTATGTAACAAATATATATATAAATGAAAGCACGAACAGCTAGAATTTTAAATTTAAGTTTAGAAAGGGAAAATGATATATTTATTTTTTCCATCAAAACAATAACAGTATCACGTGGTTGGCTACGTACGATATGCGATAGGTGTGGCGGCTCGGTAAACGGATAGTCGCAGATCAGTATGAAAATATATTTGCTCATAAAAATTTTCGTTTAAAATAATAATCTTATCTCCTCGAATTAGTCTGAAGTAGTGTTTATATAATTTACAATGAAGTTGTTATCATTTTTGAGGGCTTTATTTTATAGTTGTAAATAATTTAGTAAATTCGAATTGGCGACCATATATCGATTTGAAATTTCAATTGTATTGGCGGACAAAAAACAACGAGTTGACAGACAAAGTTGAAATATTCCAAAACAAAATGAAAGGTAGGCAAACATTATATATTGTTTTTCAATGCTAATTTTAACCGCATGTTTTGCATGATTCGATGGCTATTGATCATTGTAATAGTTTGACTGGTAAAACCTAATGTCACTGTGATTTCGCGAGATAAACATTTTTGTTTCCTCGTAAGAGCACACTGAAATTATTTGCTATAGAACAGTCTGTATCATCGGATCATTTTTCCCACCACTATATCGCCAAGCCAAATAAATGCACCATCAATGGTAGGGAAATATCCTAGCAATTGAAATCAATAAAAGATTAAATGCAGTACGTTAGACTCTTATTATTCAAAAATGCTGGGGTAATAAAATCCCTCTTATTTCTTATCACATGAATTCGCTTACATAAGGGGCCAGTCATTTACCACAATGTATCAGATGCACAGTTTGATTTGATACGCTGTGTAGTTGTGTTAACTACTCGTGTGTTAATTGGAAGTAACTTACCAATTACGTAACATACATGTGTTCTTAATATAATGATACATGATTCATGGCATTTGATAACACATGTAAAATGATACGACTTTGGTAAGATATATCTGAAAAGGCACAATTGTTTTTGACCTAGCTATCTTTTTATTAAATGTAATCAAACAAAACATATTATAAATTCAGAAAAACACATTATCACTAAGTTATAAATCAATAAAAGTAATAGTTTGTTAATTAGCCTGCTTATCAACAATTATATGTTTTCGTATCATAAAACGTTTGTAACACTAAGCCAGTCGTCCTATATACACTAGCAGATCGGATTCAGCTGGCAAGAGATGATATCTATAAAACAGTAAACATGTGAAATTTCTTTGATATGAAATTTGTATCCAATACATGAATATAAAAAATAAACAATGTCAATTTTTGCCGGGAAATAGAATTAATTTGGTACATTTGTTATGTTAGTTTTTCATGCCCTTAAGTATAAACTAAGACTTAATAGTATTTGGATTTGTCTATTGAGATAACAAACTCTCCAATACATGGTTTAATTCTAAAATGATTATATTTCGTCTTTTCAGATTGTGGAAATTACTAAAATTCAACGCTCTAAAGTTCAGGAGAAGAATGAAAAGTGTAAAGGAAAAGAAAAATGACAACCTAACCAAGTTGGTGAACAGGTATATTCAAATATTATAGAAAATACAGTGATCTAATTATCCCTTGATTTTATAATGAAATTCACACGAAGCATTTGTATCAAAAATCAATTAAATATATAGGTACACTTAACTACATATGGTTTTAAACTAGATAGAAAATAATAAATATCTTTTTTTAAAGTAGTTGGAGAGTTTGTCAAAATATCGTTAAATTATAATATGTAAAAGTGATTCATTTCTTGCACTTGAAAACTGATTATTTTATTTTTTTAATTTCAGAAAGTGTGATGTGATCTCAGGTTGGAGAGGTAATGATACGCTTAAAGTATGCCCCAGATCAACACAGTGGAGGAGGACGAAAGAAGATACATTAACATTGCTATTTATAGTAATAACAAAATATTCAGAATATTGTTACCATTTAACATTCAGATCTAGATTCAGTTATAAATATACAAAGACAAATATACAATCAGTGAACTGATAGATGATTGGAAAATCCCAAAATCAGGTGATCAGTCATGATCAGTTGTGGATTAGCCTGGTTCCATCTGTTCGATTTTTTTTATGTGCTTCTGTTTCGTCAAATCGAACATGATAGCTATCAAACCAGAGATGTTTGTGTTATTCTATTGACGATGCGGGCTATGAAATAGCTCGTAAGTTATGAAATAAGCAAAAAATATATCAACGCCGTGAATCCAGTCTTAAGTGTGCATATAAAAAAATTTACTATAGCAAAATGTCAGTGGTAATCTCAAGAAGATTTTGTGTATCTAATTCTAAAACAGCTTATTTAATTACATAAAGCGCTATTTTAAGTACACTACTTTCAAAGTTATCGTTTCACAAAAAATATTAATGCTAATCTTGCATTGTTATCTGAAACAAATTTCTTGTTTGGAACTTGGATCCCGAGTATACAAATAATTGCTAATACAATTAAAGAATGCTTATTTGTTTACCCTATTATGAAAAAAAAATCGGTGTTCCAAAAGTTTTGAATGAGGCTAGAGTCTAAATCATTGGTCACGAAAATTGGTTAGATAAGGTTGATGAATTATGGTCAGATAATAGGTCAGAAAAGGTTGGATTATGGTCAGAAAAGTCGGATTATGTCCAAATAATGGTCAGGGCTAAGGTTGGATTATGGTCAGATAATGGTCAGAAAAGGTTGGATAAAGGTCATTATATGACGTTGTATAGACGTTGGCTTTTCTGACGTCTAAAAAAACTTTTCAAATCCAACCTTCTGCCAACGTTTACCAACGTCAGGGTCTAACGTCAGTACAACGTTGGTACAACGTCTTTTGTTTGCTGGGTAAGAACACAAAAATATCAGGAGATTAATTAATTTTCAGAATCAAGCATTAGTCAACAACGTATTTAATTACTTGACCTTCTGAATAGCATTTATGGAATTTACAGGGCTTCAAATACATAAAAGTTCTGCACGATGATTAGAAACTGTCCAATACTTGCCCTCACATGTTCATATTTCACATATTTCCGCGACCCATAAACTATAGCAACAATATTACAAGAAAAATCATATTTTACACAATTACTGTCAAACACATTTCTTAAAAGGAATGTTAATTGATAAATATCAAACAAAAAAGTTTCTCACCCTTTTGAAGAGCTTGGAATTTCTCTAATTCTGTTGTCAACTTTTTTTGCAACTCTGAATCCATTTGGTAGCCCGACCCTCCATTTTGTTTATGACTGTTTCATTTGGAGCTTTTACCTATTTGCACAATCAAACACAAGAATTGTCACACCGTGTCGAAGTATATTCTGCTGATGCAATTCCTACCAAGAGTGAACCGAAATGATGCAAAGAGTTTACACACATTTGCTACGGGTGCGATGTTTCTCTGTGTTGACAAGTCGTTAAATTTGACTGTTTATGCTTTTAAAGCTGTTGACAAATATTTTAACGTTTTATTTTTATTGTTTAGTGTGTATGCCAAGGTTTTTAATATTGTGATTGGAATACTGGCAAAATTTAACCTTTAGTTAGATCTACTTATTTTCTTAAGTTGTAAACTTCATTTGAAACAAAATGATGATTTATGTCATTGTTTCTGCAAATTTTATTTTCTAAAGCTTTGAAAGTGACATATTTTTTATTTTACTGATCTTGTACTGACATCTTTTTTTCTGGTGTCACAGACTTAAATTAATTATGTAATTAAATTCCATGGTTTCTATCATAGTTTTTGGTTGGGATGTAATGTAATGGGACTGACAAGATAAGCATCTAAATGACAGTCAATATTTCCCTTAGTTTAGTGTTTAAATATACTGTTTTCATTAAAAATTACGGCAATCTCCTGGATTTTATAGATCCCAAATTATTTTTCAGGAGTATAACTTGTATATATATATATGATAAACTAACAAAATGGAATAAACCTTTATATACTGCTGGTTAAGACTCTGGGGTATACTGAGTTAACAGGGAATGAACCTTATATCTACTTCTGGTTAAGACTCCAGGGTCTATTCCAGGATATAGCTAAAATTATGTAGTGATACATTTTCATAATTTCATGTTAGGACCTTAATATACAATAGCCTGTTCAAATCTTACTCAATTTGGTTATATTTTTCTTATTGACATTTATACTACAGACAAAGGAGAGTGTACCTTTTCACAGTGATCAACATGACAAATTTAGGTGGCATGTGTGCTTGATTGTAGGAAAGATTAAGCGATGTGAATCCCCAAACTCCGCGCACCGGTTACGCTACGGCCATTAACCACTGCCTTCACACAAATCACGTGATGATGGTCTTATCACATGATTGTGTAAAAATGGCGTATACGCCAATGAAATCGTTGAAAAAATGTTTTATCTGTGATAAACAGCGACATTAAATCTCAAATATGTCAATATGATTGAAAAAAATTGATTTTTGTAAAGCGTAGAGTCGAAATTAATAACTACTTGAATGATTTCTCTTTCGAGAAGGGGTCATTGTTTTGGAAATAAACGGTGCAATATTAAAATTTTTAAAAATTATTTTCATAATATTTATGTTTCCAAATTTATTTTTTATTTTAGTTCACATCTAACACCTATCGGTCTTGAAACATTAGCAAAACCGTGTTTACTTTTTAAAATAAATATAAAAATTGAAAAAATTCATATTGTCAAAAATCTTGACGAAAATGTTGTGATGGCAGAGATCTAATCCTGTAAGGGGAGATCACTGCGTAGGAGATTGGCAAATCCCCTGTTGCTTGTACCTTTACATGTATATACGGCGCCCTATAGCCTGGGATTGACAGGCGTTAACATTTTTTGCTTATTCATAACATACGTGCTATTTCATACTTGTTCCTGTTTTTGATAATATCATGTTGATTTGCTGAAAAGAAGCACATAAAAAAATTGACACACTGGAACTCAAGCAAGGCCCCTAAGCTTGGGTAAATTATATGGGGTGAAAAAAATGGCGCGTTTAAATATGATTTAAATTTAACTTGATAAGCTAAAAATGTCATAATCAATTTTTAGAATGTTTGGATAAAGATGTCATTTGAAAAAAAAAAATTTATTCATAAAGAAGGGATATTAGTATATCATATGCGAAGAAGCATGCAAAAATTGCAGGATGTATGGCTCAATTTGTATGTCTTAGATGCGTATTAGTTTTTTTTAAGGTAAGAGGCATTGCAGCACTTATATTAAAATAATTGTAAATATGTTAAGTGTAAAATATTCTACATTTCAGCATTCAAGAACACAAAGATGTCCATGTCGATCAGTCACTTCTCAGGTACCTAGGACAGCGCCATTGAAGAAGCCTTTCTGGAAAGATGCCAACAATTATTTATTGGTAACAAAGCAGTACCCAGAGTACCTCATAGTTTTTGGAATTGATGGCATTTTAGCGATAGCATCTGAATAAAAACTGCACGCATTCACAGGGCCGGCAAAATCTAATTTGGATTTATCTAAGAATTTTTAAACTTGGTTGTATGATATTTATATAGTAAATTTTTTAAAATTCCACTTGTACGTACAGGCTGTGGGACAATCTGGGCAATATGGACAATAGATTTTGCCGCCCCTGATTCAGATGAGCAAACAAATTTTTAGGGTATTCATATACTGCAATGTTCCGGAAATAACTGATTTACTATAATATTAGTTGATGTTAGAATTTTTTGGGCGGGAAAACATTACAGTAAGACTACCTTAAAACACAAACTTTTGCTATTACATTGTACCATTTATTGCTGTTTAAAAGTAGCATTTATATTAAAGCTGCACGCCTTTTCGAGAAAATCAACTTGAAAAAAAAGTTATGAGATTTTAAGAAAAGTAAAAGACTCAAGATTAAAGTAATAATTTCTATTGCATGTGCAATAGATGACCAAATTTGCAATAATTTTCACCATATTTCTACTGTGTTAGTAACACAGTTACAGCTATTTTTGCATATTTCAACCCCTTTTTGTTGATTTATATAGGTTGTAATTGCTGTTTGCAATGTGGAAATTATATTATCTTTGTTCATTTCACAATATTTTACCTTTTTATGCATTTTCTCAATTTTCATGAATATAAGCATGTATCTGGAAGTGTGCTGCTTTAAAGTGAGGTTAATGATTGATCCGTGGTCGAGGGGTTAGAGTCGATGACTTCTAATACAGTTACCTCTCTGGCCTGGGTTGGATCCCTGGGAGATGCTTTGGTAGTTTAGCACGGAGGAAGGTAGTCTAGTACTGGTGTAACTCTCCAGGAACGATGGTTAGGAAACTACCCGCCTATATAACTGAAATATAATAATTATAGATTATTTAAACATACAATTTTTGTTTTGAAACATATCTTGTTAAAACTCCATCAAAATTATACAGGTGTGTCTGTACATTGTGTGATAGATCCATTGGTGATGAATTCTATTATATTTTTGAGTGTGTTTTGATAATGTCAGGAAACGTTTTTTGAAACCTAAATATTTAACCGCCTTCGTGGTTGAGGGGTTAGAGTCGATGACTTCTAATCCAGTTACCTCTCTGGCTTGGGTTTGATCCCCGGGAGATGCTTTGGTAGTTTAGCACGGAGGAAGGTAGTCTAGTACTGGTGTAACTCTCCAGGAACGATGGTTAGGAAACTACCTGCCTATATGACTGAAATACTGTTTGGAAAAGGCGTAAAATGAAACAAACAAACAAAAGATCCAAAGATGAATAACTCTTGTGTGACATTTATTTCAGATATGTCCAATAACATGTGTAGGTTTAGCAATCTGGCAAGTGAAAAGAAAAGAATGGAAAGAAAATTTGATAGACACTATCAAAGAACGATATGAAATGGATCCAATACAGTTACCCAAAGAGTATGAAATTATTTTTTTTTTTACGTTCTTGTCATTGATATTGAGAATGTTAATTTCTAAAATTAGTAAGCTGACAGGTATAATACAAATAAAGTCAGATAGTCTATAATTATCCACATGGCTTTTTTTATCAGGAATTTGAAAATCCAAAGTCTAAGATATATACACCAGGATCAGGACCGGACCTGTGCTTTCAGTCAATTGAAATATATATAAATATAATGATTATTTATCATATATTCATGCTTAATTATGGTCAATGTATTTTTGATGTACCAGTGTGTGTTTATTTACATTTGTTCTCTGGAAACCCCATATTTATATACAAGAATATGAACAACTTATTACATCATTCGACTTTTAACATCAATTTAGAAAGCTGTGGTTATTAAATCTTGTAAGATATACATGGTTAATACATGTTTGAATATATTATAAAATGTTTTTTTTTTCAGTTTGTCAACAGTAAAAGATTTTGATTTGTACCCAGTGAAAGTAAGAGGACATTTTGATTATGCAAATGAAGTATATATAGGTCCACGTTCGGATACCCCCGAAAGAAGACACCAAACACTAGGGGGTAAAGTCTCAGGGGTTTATGTGATCACACCTTTCAAACTTGCAGACAGGGAGTATGTAATGTTTAGGACCATATGAGCCACGTCATGAAAAAACCAACATAATGGGTTTGTGACCAGCATGGATCCAGACTAGCCTGCGCATCCGTGCAGTCTGATCAGGATCCATGCTGTTCGCTATCAGTTTCTTTACTTGTTATAGAGTTTGTAAGCGAACAGTATGGATCCTGATCAGACTGCGCGGATGCGCAGGCTGGTCTGGATCAGTGCTGGTCGCAAACCCATTATTATATGCCCGAAAGAATTTCAGACATATTATGTTATACCCCCTGGCGTCCGTCCGCACTACCGAATAGGGATAGAGGGCCATCTAACTGTAAAGAGAACAAAAGAGAACAATAGAGTTCATTCCATTACAATAGAGTAAGGGGCCATTGGCCCTCTATTAAACAATAGAAAATAACAAAAGAAATAGCCCCTTATTCCATTTCGGCCCGACGTCCGTTCGTCTGTCCGTCCGTCCGTTAGCAATTTGGTTTCCGGAGCATAACTTAAGTTCCATTTGGCCCACAATATTCAAACTTCATAGGATGATTGTCCATATTGGGTAGAAGACCCCTATTGATTTTGGGGTCATAAGGTCTAAGGTCAAGGTCACTATGACCTTAAAACTGAAAACAGTTTCCGGAGCATTACTTAAGTTCCATTTGACCTACAATATTCAAACTTCATAGGATGATTGTCCATATTGGGTAGAAGACCCCTATTGATTTTGGGGTCACAAGGTCAAAGGTCAAGGTCACTATGACCTTAAAACTGAAAACAGTTTCCGGAGCATAACTTAAGTTCAATTTGGCCTACAGTGTTCAAACTTCATAGGATGATTGTCCATATTGGGTAGAAGACCTCTATTGATTTTGGGGTCACAAGGTCAAAGGTCAAGGTCACTATGACCTTAAAACTGAAAACAGTTTTCCGAGCATAACTTAAGTTCCATTTGGCCCACAGTGTTCAAACTTCATAGGATGATTGTCCATATTGGGTAGTAGACCCCTATTGATTTTGGGGTCACAAGGTCAAAGGTCAAGGTCACTATTACCTTAGAACTGAAAACAGTTTCCGGAGCATGACTTAAGTTCTATTTGGCCCACAGTGTTCAAACTTCATAGGATGATTGTCGATATTGGGTAGAAAACCCCTATTGATTTTGGGGTCACAAGGTCAAAGGTAAAGGTCACTATTACTTAGAAATTGAAACAGTTTCTTGAGCATAACTTAAGTTCCATTTAGCCCACAATATTCAAACTTCATAGGATGATTGTCCATATTGGGTAGAAGACCCCTATTGATTTTGGGGTCACACTGTCAAGGTCACTATTACCTTAAAACTGAAAACAATTTTTGGAACATAACTTAAGTATCATTTGGCCTACTGTGTTTAAACTTCATAGTATGATTGTGCATATTGGGTAGAAGACCCCTAATGATTTTGGGGTCACAAGGTCAATGGTCAAGGTCACTTTTACCTTAGAATTGAAAATGGTTTCTGGGGCATAACTTAAAGTTCCATTTGGACCACAATATTGAAACTTCAAAGGAGGATTGTTATTTGAAGGAGGTAATACTTTATGTTACTCCCATGTCTTACAAATGCTTCATCTTTACTAAAAAAAAAAAAATCACTTTGGGGCATATAATGCTCCGCCTAGCGGTGCTCTTGTGTTAGTTTTGTCGTGACGTGGCTCATATAAAGTTCTGTTTTATCCTACCTATCATATGTTTTAATTACCAAACCAATAGTTTGTATAACCTTCAAAATCTATATAAAATATTAAATGAAAAAAAAAAATACATGTATATGAAAAGGAAGTTCATTTTTACCTTTCATATGTACCTTAAAATTCCTATTAAATGCCCCTGGGGGCTAAACATTTTCTAAAAGGGGGGGGGGGGGGCTATTATTACAACACAGTTTTTCCTAAATCAAAAATCATTGTAAATACATTTATTGTTAGCAAATGTTGGTAAGAACATTAAAAAAAGTTTTAAGATTTTAAAGTTCATACTATGAAATAAAATGGATTCTGAATGATTTGAATGAAATTATGGATTTACTCATGAGTTCAGCACTGATGAGTAGATTGTTTTTCTTATCAAAAGGCCTGGGGGCCTTTATTAGGGGAGGGGCCTTTATTAGGAATTTTACAGTATTTTTTTTTAGTTTTTTCTTTTTTTTCTCATGAAGTTAAAAATCAAAGTGTGTTTGTTTTTTGGACTTAAGGGATGTCTAGGGCCAAGTGGTTAAGGTCTTTGACCTCAAAGCATTTATTTTTCACAGCTATAGGTTTGAGATTGAATTCTTTTGTGTGGAAAAGCTATCCAGATAGCTTATCGAATGTTGGTGGTTCTACTCAGGTGCCTATTTTATGCCTGAAATAATGCAAAAGGGGGCACTTGAGCTCTTCCTTCACCAGTAAAGTGGAAAGTCGCCATATGACCTATACTGTGTTGTTGTAAGGTAAAACCAAACCAAGAAGAAAGAAAAATGTCTTTAGTTAAATCAAAAATTTATTTTAACTTAGATTAGCTAGATCTGTATAACTGTATTCAACATAAATAGCTAGATTCTTTCAAATCTTTCTATTAGAAAAACCCTGATTAAAGGAACTTTATTTATGTACAAAATTTAGCCTTAAAAAAACATATAATTTGATGACTTACATCATGTATTTCACAAGTCAGGATAAAAGTATATTTATTTAGTCCTGTCATATCAAAAATAACCTTAATGGGATTTTTCTTGTATCTAAACTTGCAAATAAAAATGAACTGCTATGAATTTATTTCAGTGAAAGCATATTAGTTAACAGAGGATGGATCGAAAATGATTATTTTGCCCTCGAGGAGAATAGGAAAAAGGCACAGGTAAGCTGCCAGACTATTGTTGTAGAAATTCATATCATATATAAACAGACAGTGTCTATTCTAGGATGCATGATAGCAGGATTTACGCCACTTTTTATATATTGAACACATTTTGGAAATGTCCTTGAAAATCCCTCATCTGAATTGATTGACTTTCTCAAAAACTGTAGAATGTCCAGTAGGCCTACTTGTTTGCATGAACACTGGAAAACTGAAGGGTAATTGTTAACATAATAAAATCAATAGTTTCTTTGGAAAAGTTTATGGGGGACAGCTCTTGTTGCTGTTAATAAATATTTTGCTTCAAAGAATATTAATGTTTAAAATTTTTGATGTATAAATTTGTTTATTATATACCTATAAATGAAATATTTTCACTGGTATCTTGCTGTACTACTTTCTGCTAAATTCAGCCAATAAACAAAATTTAAGGGCAGGTCTTTCAAATTAAGATGTCAAAAAGACAAAAAATGTATATAATAAACAGAAAATTCTTTTTTTTTCTACAAATGCAGGATTTATTTTCATCTTGAGGTATGAATATTATTCATTTTTTCACTCCTGTCTACCGCCACT